TTTACTAATTCACGTTAACATCACCTTTCATGTACATTTTAAAAATTCTTTCAATTTACAGTATGACTATTGTGTGAACAAGCCCCAAATTAATTAAACTTTTTATCATACCACTCTCGCACATCAGTGATTTTTGTTAATTTAGTTAAAAACCTGACAGGGCTCAGTGGCTCACACCTGACGTCAGGAGTTCGAGACCAGCCTGGCCAATATGGAGAAACCCTGTCTCAACTAAACATACAAAATTAGCTGGGCATGGTGAGGTATGCCTATAATCCCAGCTACTTAGGAGGCTGAGGCAGGAGGACATTTGAACCCAGGAGGCGGAGGTTGTGGTGTGCCAAGATTGTGCCATTGCACTCCAGTCAGGGCAACATGAGTGAAACTCTGTCTCAAAAAAAAAAACAACACAAAAAAAACCCCCCAAAAAAACAGCCTACGTCTTTTTAAAACACACACCTACAAACTTTTTAAATTACCATATGTAATAGAGAAGAGAGCTTCCTCTGGTACACATAAGAATATAAACAAGGAGATAAAGTGATTCTTCCCATGGTCATTCCATAAAATGAATTATAATACAGACTTGTTACCAATCAAATCTAACAAAATCTATTTCAAGAGTTAACCAATGACTTAATGGAAGCCTCTTATCTTCATTACAGTGTAAGTATAAGGACATCACTGAGCCTAGAAAAATGATATACACACTCACATGCATATATACATACACACATAATCACATTTCTGATGCCTCTACTGAGAAATACACTAACTTGAAGAAGGCTTGAGCAGGCATCTTAATAACCCATTTCATATTTCCTTTTACTTATTTTGGGATAAGTTTCATTAAAGTCTCAGGCTATGTACAACTAAGCTACTTCTAACCCAGAATGTATCTTGAGTTCTCTAGTGAAAAGTTACCCAATATAAAATTTAAATCCAGGAACTAACTAGTAAGAGTTTTCTGGTAAATTTTAACTGCTGAAAGACAGTGGAGGGGGAAAAAAAAAATCAAATCATGTTTCCATGTGAAAATAAAAAAAACAAGTGTGGGCAAATCAGTTAATACAGGAATATAAAACTCACTGAGGAAAATAATGTAAGGTACACACGGTAACAATCTGAGCAAAGACAGGAAAAAGGCATTTCTCTAAAAAACAGAAGCGTACTTTACCAGAGGACAATTATTCTAAATCAATGAAGTCCAAATGAATGAGATTTGACTCTATTTTATAAAAGCTCCACAATTATGTGACGCTGTTAGTAACCAAACACTTAATTCCAAAGACAACCTGTTCAAGTTTACTTTGGCATGACCTAAAAAAACCTTCATCTTCACAGAAAAGGTACTAGGAAACCAAATAAAACCATCATTTGTTAAAACAAATATATTCAAAAGTATAATAAATATAAAAATGCATGGAAATGTTGAGGAAAACAAAATGAGGTAGTTTTAAAATATAAACAGTAATATTTGGTATGAAAAATCCATTATTTACCTATTTTGACTACCATAGGACTACAATGCCACATTAATTTACGGTCAAAAATTGACAAATCTAAAAACAATGTTTAAGTCAACAGAGAGAACTTCCTCCCAATTAAATAAGTTCAATCAGACAAACAAAAACACTCAAATTTCTTCTTTCCATAAAAATTCAACTTTGATATTAAGAACATTTTTCCACTGACCAATAGCCTACATTATCTCTCCAATCTCAGCTTCTTTACTCCTTTAGTTCACCCTTAGAGAACATGACATTGATCTTTCCAAAAACATATTTCAGTATAACCCTCCTTGCTCAAAAAATTTCAAGACTACCCCTGACACTCCTAATGCTCAAATTCCTTAGCCTGGCTTAGTCAATCAAGCCAGGCTTATTCACAATTTGGCTCCCATCTTTCTGGCTTCCTCTCAGTACTCTGCCAGAGGAAACTTCTCCAGTCAAATTGACCCACTGACTTCAGAATACCTTGTGTTTCCGTAATTAACAAAATATTTTCTTCTTCTTAAGATTAATATACTGCAGAAAGCAAAGCCAAATTTTCTAAACAAATTTAAAAGTTGTTAAGAATGAAATGCATTCAAACCTTAATTTTGTTTTTGTTTTTTTGAGGCGGAGTCTTGCTCTGTCACCCAGGCTGGAGTGCAGTGGCACGATCTTGGCTCATTGCAACCTCTGTCTCATGTGTTCAAGCGATGAGACCTCAGCCTCCCAAGTAGCTGGGATTACAGGCACGTGCCACCAAACCTGGCTAATTTTTGTATTTTTAGTGGAAACGTGATGCACCCGCCTCAGCCTCTCAAAGTGCTAAGAGCTACTGTGCCCAGCCAGCTCTTACCTATGTTTTTTTGACAGAATAAGTTAATTTCTAGTGATTGCCTAAAGGACTGAGAACAAGAAAAGGTTTGGTAAATAAACAAACCCACAAGCCGGGCACGGTGGCTCACACCTGTAATCCCAGCACTTTGGAAGGCCAAGGCGGGTGGATCACAGGGCCAGGAGATCAAGACCATCCTCGCCAACATGGTGAAACCCTGTCTTTACTAAAAATTCAAAAATTAGCTGGGTGTGGTGGTGCACATCTGTAATCCCAGCTACTCAGGAGGCTGAGGCAGGAGAATTGCTTGAACCCGGGAGGTAGAGATTGCAGTGAGCCAAGATCATGCCACTGTACTCCAGCCTCCTGGGTAACAATGAGACTCCGTCTCCAAAAAAAAAAAAGAAACAAACCCACATCTTCTCTCAAGCTTTTAACATGGTCACTGAATGGAAGCAATGCTTCCACTCAATTTTTGACTAAAAACTCCTGTGAAAGATGATAAGAAAAAAGACTTAGAGACCCTGGACAGTGTCCAAATATTTGACTCACCTTAAATATTTTATGATATATTTTATGATTCACCATCAGGGCCCCAGTCTATTGCTAAACTACATAAGTAGTTTAGGCCAGTAAGTTGACACTTTTTTCTAGGGAAATGCACATCCCAAATCACCCCAGAAATTTTCAAAAAACATTAAATTGTTTTAAAAGAGCAATAACTATTTTCATAATCACAAATAATATGTCAGCAAGTTTTGGCTGTTATCAACACATTTCTAAGCACTGAAGATGCCAACTTAAAACTTTAACTTCCCCCCAAAACCAAAGATAACTTAAACTAAACCACTGCATTAGAATTAACTAGATCACAATAAAGACAGCTCCCAAATCCTAAATCCTTTTGCTAAGAATTTACTTTTTGTGGGAACAATGCCTGACATTTATGAAATTAAAAAACAAAAAAACCCTTTCAGAAAAAAGAAAACAGCAACAACAAGACTTGGTTTAAAATTTACAAAGAAAAGTTTATCAACTTGGAACCTATGGTAAATCAATTATTTACTGAAGACAAAACCACACAAAAAAGGTGAGGCAGCATCTCAGGTATCAGATCATCATTGCATAATACTTAGAGCCCTTGAACTAAGAGGTCAGCTCACTCTTGAGCCACGACAGACATCAAAAGGGTTATCCCCAAGTATCTCATCAGCAGGTCTACAGCAAAGATAGAAGAAACAAATGCAAGAACTAAAAAGAATACGAAGAAAAGAGCATAGGGCAAAGGGAAAGGTTGGAGGTAAGAACAGAAAGAAGAGAATTAAATGTGTAAGGCTAGAAAGAAGAAGAAGAAAAATCAACAATGAGAGAAGGTGTAGTTAAAGTAAAAAGGCAGATACACTTGCCTGGGGGACATGAGCCCCAAAGGTAATATACCACTGACACTAGAAATCTTCCAACGAGGAGTTGCCCAAGAAATCATTTTAAGAAAGTTTTAGGAAAATCACTCTTCTTAGAAAACCCCTGACTTTTGAATGAACTGAAACCAGAATCTAATCTATCTTTTTCTGAATGTTCTCAAACTGTATTGTTTACTATACTTTATTACAATCCTATAAATTATAAATTTTATTTTTAAGTTCTGGCCATATTTTGATAAGCTCCAAACCTAAAATAACACTTGACTGGTTAATGCCGTCAAGTGAAGCATCAATAGGTAATTCACAGTAACATTACAGGGGAGAAAAAACTTTTAAAATGTCCTAATCTGTGTACCTACAAAAGTCATGAAAGATCCAGCAGATGGGGTCTGAAACCACCAAATTGTTTTTAAACGGTATAGGATGAAAAAAGAAATGGAGAGATGAGTGGGTCTGGGGCTATCCAAAATATAAAAATTATTTCAAGAGGAACTTAGTAAAAATTCAAAGACAAGAAGAGTAAATAAAATGTCATTAAGGGCACAAGACACAAAAATTCATTAAAATATTGCTTTTGCTTGGTCTCTCCAAAACAGAAAGCTGTGTATCCCTGATTGGTCCAGCCATTCTCCAGAAGCTAGTACTCAGCATTGAGATGTTAGTGAGGATTCTTTAGCCATTTGAAGCTCTGAAACCAAAACTATAGAGTCCCATAATCTTTCTAGGATATAAGGAAGCTTGTGTGAGCTTAGATTTTCTGGCCTAGAATATATTTTTACATTTGTTCACCAGGAAAAGGCACTTCTCAAAACTGATCCACATCATGAAGGTTTTATCAGAAAGTATCTAACTACATGGTAAATACATAATTTAGCCAGAAAAAATTCTGAATCAGAGCTGTCACTGAGAAGTCCAGTGCTCTGGGTTTGGCTTTCTGTATGTTTTCTCTAATCATTTATTTTTTCCTACTTTCCAACCATCTCATATTGTCACTGTCCTTCCATTCCCATCCTTTACTTTCCTCCTGTACAGATACACAAAAAGAATATCAGTACCACTATGTATGTATGTGTATACATACACACACATATACATGTATATGTATACACACACACAAAGACACACATGGCAGGAGCCCCAATATCAGAGTATAAACCAAAGATGAAGACATAAATAATACTGCAGAACGGAAATAAATCCATTCCTTATTATTTCTAAAACAAAAGAGAACTGTGGTTGGATACTACAACTCACCCGATGGTTCTTCAGGCTCACTTTCGTTTTCTTCCTCAGGTGGGGCTTGAGGGGGTGGTGGGGGAAGCTTCTTTTCCTTCTCTGCTTTAGCATTTCTCTCTTCTTCTGAATAATACTCATCTTCTGAAAGGTTGGCCAAGCTTTCATCCATCTCTCTGTACTCTACCTATATGGAAATCATACCAGGGAAAGCTAAATACATTGAACATTTAAAATCAGGACTCTATGTGGGACCACCAGTTAATGTGAATTAACTTCACATTTTAAGGGAAGAACAACAAGGAACAAGCCAGTTAACAGGTAGTTATTAAAAACAAAGTCCTCATGAAACAATGTTGTGTCAGTTCACGTTTACACTAAGCTGTAACTTTTTTTTTTTTTTTAAGATGGGGTTTCACCATGTTGGTCAGGCTGGTCTTGAACTCCCGACCTCAGGTGATCCGCCCGCCTTGGCCTCCAAAGTGCTTGGATTACAGGCGTGAGCCACCACGCCCAGCCCAAAGCTGTAACTTTTACATCATAGCACTGACATTCAAACCATTGACTCTAAGGCTCTCTACAACTCTCAAGAAACTTTTTAATTGTGTGTATCATGCTCACATGCCAGAACTTCCAACAAAAGATTAAAATAACCCTCAGACAAAAATATAGTTAACTATAATACCAACTCTGTCTAATGCCAAGTCTGTGCTTCTAACTACTATTCTAAAGGAAAACAGCAAAAGAATTCCAAAAACCAAATGGAGGGCATGGAGTGGAAAATAACAAGAATCAAACTGAAACTATAAAAAAGGTGCGTTTGCTTAAAAAATTTACCTAGGAGAGGCCCAGCACGGTGGCTCAGCCTGTAATCCCAGTACTTTGGGAGGCCAAGGCAGGTGGATCACCTAAGGTCAGGAGTTCAAGACCAACCTGGCCAACATGGTGAAACCCCTTCTCTACTAAAAATACAAAAATTAGCTGGGTGTGGTGGCAGGCACCTGTAATTCCAGCTACTCGGTAGGCTGAGGCAGGAGAATCGCTTGAACCTGGGAGGTGGAGGTTGCAGTGAGCCAAGATCGCACCACTGCACTGCAGCCTGGGTAACAGAATGAGACTCTGTCTAAAAAAAAAAAAAGATAAATTAGGAAGTAAGTGACGTGGAAATGGAGGATACAGATCTTACTCCTAATGCACACTGGCTACAGAGGAGAGGGAAGTATGTCATTAGCAAAAAGAACCATGCTCTAAGAATCTTATTTAATACATGAATAAATGTATTCACCAATTCAAATACTGAATACTGAGTACACAGCATAATGGAGAAAACAATTATGACTGAGTGTTTCCCTGCCCCTAAAAAGCTGAAAATCTAGTTGCAATTAAATGATCCTGATCAGGTGACCGTCTCATACAGGGTCTTTGCAATAAGACTCCAAAAATGTGGATGTTATTATACTAAACTGTAACCTAACTGATTGAGATAAGCTGTGGAAATAGGCCTCAGGACAATGGATGAAAAAGCAGTAAGGGGAAAAAAAAAGTTTCAAAGCAGGAGAGAAGTCAGAATAGGCTATAAACTTTCATAGTATGCAATTTTCTTTCTCCTTTTACCCCTCAATAGTGCTTGACTCTTCCCTTCCCCAACGATTCAGTCCCTTTATCCTCTGCCCATCAATCCTATTCATTCAATAATCACTTAACAGGTACCTAATATGGAACTGGACAATGTGCAAATTTTGAGAAAAAAAGAGTAATACAAAATCCTTTCTATTTTACTAGTTCGGTTTTTCCCAAAGGATATTCCCTTAGATACTATATTCTTTTTTTTTTTTTTAATTGTACTTTAAGTTCTGGGGTACATGTACTGTTCATGCAGGACTGCTGCATAGGTACATACATGGCAATGTGGCTTGCTGCCTCCATCCCCCCCACCGCCCCCGTCACCTATATCTGGCATTTCTCCCCATGTTATCCCTCCACAACCTCCCTAACCCCCCGCTGTCCCTCCCCTAGTCCCCTGCAAAAGACCCCAGTGTGTGATGCTCCCCTCCCTGCGTCCACGTGTTTTCACTGTTCAACACCCACCTATCAGTGAGAACATGTGGTGTTTGATTTTCTGTTCTTGTGTCAGTTTGCTGAGAATGATGGTTTCCAGATTCATCCATGTGCCTACAAAGGACACAAACTCGTCGTTTTTATGGCCGCGTAGTATTCCGTGGTGTATATGTGCCACACTTTCCTTGTCTAGTCTATCATCGATGGGCATTTGGGTTGGTTCCAGGTCTTTGCTATTTGTAAACAGTGCCACAATGAACATATGTGTGCATGTGCCTTTTTAATAGAACGATTTATAATCCTTTGGATATATACCCAGTAATGGGATTGTTGGGTCAAATGGAACTTCTATTTCTAGGTCCTTGAGGAATCACCACACTGTCTTCCACAATGGTTGAACTAATTTACACTCCCACCAACAGTGTAAAAGTGTTCCTATTTCTCCACATCCTCTCCAGCATCTGTTGTCTCCAGATTTTTTAATGACTGCCATTCTAACTGGCGTGAGAATGGTATCTCAATGTGGTTTTGATTTGCATTTCTCTAATGACCAGTGATGATAAGCATTTTTTCATGTTTGTTGGCCTCATATATGTCTTCTTTTGAAAAGTGTCTGTTCATATCCTTCGCCCACTTTTGAATGGGTTTGGATGTTTTTTTCTTGTAAATCTGTTTTAGTTCTTTGTAGATTCTGGATATTGGCACTTTGTCAGATGGGTAGATTGCAAAAATTGTTTCCCATTCTGTTGGTTGCTGGTTCACTCTAATGATTGTTTCTTTTACTGTGCAGACGCTCTGGAGTTTAATTAGATCCCATTTGTCTAATCTGGCTTTTGTTGCCAATGCTTTTGGTGTTTTAGTCATGAAGTCCTCGCCTATGCCTATGTCCTGAATGGTTTAACACCATAAAAACCCTAGAAGAAAACCTAGATACTATATTCTTTGAAGGAGAAAAGGATCCAAGACCAAGTCTGGAAAAATGAATCTTTACAGGCCCCCTCTAGGAGAATTACAATAATGCACATTAAAGGTACTGAGAAGGCTGGGTGTGGTGGCTCGTGCCTGTAATCCCAGCACTTTGGGAGGCCGAGGTGGGCAGACTGCCAGAGCCCAGGAGGTTGACCAGCCTGGGCAACATGGCAAAACCTTGTCTCTACAAAAAAGTATAAAAATTAACCTAGTATGGTGGCACATGCCTGTAGTCCTAGCTACTTAGGAGGCCAAGGCAGGATGACCGCTTAAGCCCAGGAGGCCGAGGCTGCAATCTGTGACTGTACAATTGTGCTCTAGCATGAACAATAGAGACAGACCCTGTCTCAAAAAATAACAAAAAATAAAGATACAGCTAAATTTTGCAGCAAAAACAATCTTTTCAACATTCTTTAATCCGATGTCTTGACAAAGAAAAAATTAAGAAATACACTTGGAAAAGGCTGGTCTAGAAAGGGTTTTTAGTCTTTAGGAACAAAAGGGATTAGAAAAATACCTACAGGTAGGAGCAATAATAACTGATGGTATTTTGAAAACAAAACTGTTTTCCACCAACACATTAATTTGTGCTGCTTGGGTAACTCAATTTTGGGTAGGCTTAAGAATGAAGTTTCTTCTGGATCTTTGTTCAACTGGTAGCATCCTGAGGTCATGATAAAGCAAGCTTTAAAAAAAAAAAAAAGGCTGGGAGTGGTGGTTCAAGTTTGTAATCCCAATACTTTGAAAGGAAGAAGGAGAAGCATAGTTTGGACCCAGTTCTAGACCAGCCTAGACAACATAGGGAGACCCTATGTTTACAAAAAGTAAAAAAAACTTAGCCAGGTCTGGTGGCATTAACTGCAGTCCCAGATACTCAGGAGGATGAGGTGGATCACTTGAACCCAGGAGGTCAAGCCTACAGTGAGCTATAATCAAAACCCTGCAGCCCAGCCTGTGTGACAGAGTCAAGACCCTGTCTCCAAAAAAAAAAAAAAAAAAAGCAAGCAAGCAAAACCAACCTTCTACCGTTTGTACAACTTGTCAAATCAGTACCAGACTGCCACAATACTTCATAAGCAAAACGAAATACAGAAACACAACTGGATTCTTCCCTGGTGGTCTAGTGCCTACGAGGAAAAAATGGATTCTAAGGCTGAAACAAGACTATCATGCTTAATTTCCAGTCTCAAATTCAGTTTCACCAATAGCATCATTTTCTCCATAGACTGACAACTAAAATAAATGTTATAAATGTTAAGTTCTTAATATTACTTAATAGTAATATGTTTTATTTTGGGATTTTGCATAAAATTTTATTTTGTAAAAAAGGGTTTCCTCATTTAATAAAGTTTTTTTTTAGGTAATTTTTAAATTGCCCAGAGCCGAGAAGTGACTATTTAATAAAGTTTTAAAACCATCTGAAAGAAGCATACAAACTTTAATAAGAACTATTCCCCTGAGAAAAGGAATGGGTACTTTGAACCTAATGGATTGGGAATCTCTCATACCTAAGTAAAAATCCCAAAGACCTCAGAGATTCTACAGCTATTTACAACCAAGGACATAAACATGTCCCAACAGGCAGACTATGAGTAAGTAGGGTAATTATTCTTACTTTTACATTGATGACCTTCAAATTTAAATCTTTAGTCTCTTCCTTCTCCTCTCACCCTTATTACAATGATTCATTCACTCCTCAATCGCCTTGAAACATCTTAAAAAGAATCTTTCTTGGGCTGGGCATGGTGGCTCACACCTGTAATCCTAGCACTTTGGGAGGCCAAGGTGAGCAGATCGCTTGATCTTAGGAGTTTGAGACCAGCCTGAGCAACATAGTGAGACTCCATCTCTACAAAAATTAGCCAGAGGTGGTGGTATGCACCTGTAGTTCCAGCTGCTTGGGGGGCTAAGGCAGGAGGACCACTTGAATCTGGGAGGTTGAGGCTGCAGTGAGCCATGATCGGGCCATTGCACTCCAGCCTGGGTGACAAAGTGAGACACTGTTTCCTAAAGAAAAAAAAAAATTTTTTTTTCCTGCCTTCACATTGCATTTCTTTATCAAAACATCTCACATACCCCATAAATATATACACCTACCATGTACCAAAAAAATTAAAAATTAAAAAACGCCAGGCACAGTGGCTCACACCTGTAATCCCA